ACACACACACACGCACACACACACACACACACACACACGCACACACACACAAGCATAGGCACACGTAGATGACATTCTTCTGCAGGCAGTGTGTGATAACTGATACTTTGCCTCCCTGGAGTTCGAGGAGTTGCTGTCTGGCTTGAAGATCTCCAAGGGCCCTGAGGTCTCGTCCTATGCCGCCCCCAGCCAGCCGCCCGTCACCACAGAAGAGCCACTGTCTCCACAGTCCTTCGCTGTGGTAAGGAAGAATCTGCCCAGAGCCTCTACTCTAAGCTGTCCGTGAATGTTCATGTTGAAGCCTGTCCTCCCTGCAGAAGGGCACCCTGATGCTGAAGGAGATGCTGAAGATTGACAGCTCCTGTTCTGCCCCTGACTCTGCCAAGACCAGTGGGCAGGGAGGGCGTAAGAGGTCCACCAAGAAACTTGGTACGTTTGTGCATGCCTGCGTGTGCTCGCGCAGTACAACTCTTTCTGATGCACCATCAGCAGAGATCCGACTTACCTGGTAATGATTGTGGTTCCTGTTCTTCCTCCTGTGCAGCTGCACGGATCCACAAGTCCCAAGGAGACATGGCTGCCCAGTTACCCATGGGCACCATTGCATCACAGCTCGCCCACACCTCTGTTGGGTTGGGTATGGCACTACCAGAGTTTACCCTTATGAGGAGCCAACAGGTACAAAGTTGGGAGTATCATAGATATGCAATGGGAAAGGAAATGACCTCAGCACCATAGATATGCAATGGGAAAGGAAATGACCTCAGCACCATAGATATGCAATGGGAAAGGAAATGACCTCAGCACCATAGATATGTATCCCTCTGTGTCTCCCTCTCCCAGGGCCTGTCTGTGTGCAAGGTGAAGCTTGCTAACGGCCTCGTGGTGCACGGGCCTCAGTGCCAGTCTGACTGCGAAGCCCAGGAGAAGGCAGCCATGTTTGCCCTGCAGCGACTGGTAAGGAGACCCCTGCTGTATCTGTGAGTGTTTTCTAGGTGTAGTTGCGTGTGTGATGCATTCATCCCCTTGCAGAGCTCACTGCCACTGGCCCAGCCGATCTTTAATGGCATGCAGCCCATCCGGCCACTGCCACCAGCTCCCCTGCCCGCTGTATTTGGCCAACCTGCCGGTGAGTGTGTGATCTCTGTCTGTCTGTGCCCCTGCCCGTCTGTCTGTCTGTCTGTGCCCCTGCCCGTCTGTCTGTCTGTCTGTCTGTGCCCCTGCCCGTCTGTCTGTCTGTCTGTCTGTCTGTCTGTGCCCCTGCCCGTCTGTCTGTCTGTCTGTCTGTGCCCCTGCCCGTCTGTCTGTCCAATGACTTGACTCACCTATAAACCTCCCCACCCAGGGAGCCTGCTCATGCCGCCTCTGCAGTGGGGGGCTTGTGTCCCCCACCAGCCTCCACCCTTCTTCCAGGGGACATTTCCAGGAGCTCGTCCCCCTCCTCCCTCTATCCCAATTGGGTCCCACAACCAGTTCGTCCCCATGCAGGTATGAGTCTGTGTCAGCTGTGGGTGCAGAGAGGTCACTGTTGGTGTGTGAATGCCTGGGTAGCTGTGCCCCGTCTTGGCATCGCGTAGCCTGGAGAATTCGTGCTTGGGTGCCGTCCTTGTGAATGATGACGTAATTGTGGAATATCTCACGAGGGGCATGGCTGGCTAACTGAGCCGCTCATTCCTCACACTGTCGCACGCCGTCTGCATCCTACACAGGTAACAAAGAATCGTGTGTCATATCGAAAAGCCCAGGAGACGAGAGATTTTTTCTGCCCTTCGTACATGGGGGGGCAGGGCATGGCGCCCCCTTTCCCCTCCCAGGCTGAAGCGGGCGATGCGCTGCCTTCGACCGACCACCCAGCTCCCCCAGAGCCCTCGAGGAAAGACGGGCCCAGGACGCCCCGGACGCCGAGGCAGAACGCTACCCACCACACCCCCGGCTCCGCCTCCAAGAGGAAACCCAGGAAGCTGGCGGTGAACTTTGATGCTGCAAAGGTTTCTGAATAAGATTCCCCCTCCAAGATGGGTTGTTCTTTTAAAAAGTATTTTAGTTTCTCACCAGATGCACAACGGGACCAAGAACAGTTCGCAGGACCTTGTTTGTCTCTTGTTTCTATCATGAGAGCTGTTTTTGGAGACAGCCTGGGTCCACCTGGAGGTTCATTTTATTAACCAACTTCCACTTAATCTAATCTTCACCTGCTTTGTGTTCCCGTTGGCACGACAACCTGACTTTTATTTGTTCTTAATCCAGACATTTCTAAGGCAGCAAAAAGAAAAAAAGTTTTGTATCGGTGCACATTTTACTCTTTTTACTAATATGTTTGGGTGCATGTCTCCCTGTTTTTGCTGCTCTAAAATGGCTTTTCTGCCCTCCTGTGCAGATTGATGCTCTGTGCTGGAGTCCTGAGTATAATTGGGGAAAGACCTGCATCTTCTGTATCTCCTGCCACTTGATCTTTCAGTAGGCACTCTGTGTGTGTAATTTTACTTTATTTTTTTCTCTCATCAGATAATGCAGACATGCCAGTTTCAGTTTAGCCACGTTAAATGTCCTGGCAGCTATAAACACAGAGGCATGCTTTTGTTGGTCAGCTGGATTTCGAACTTGTATGCTGCTTTGCATCACTTTACATTGCTTTAAAAATGAATTTGTAGTTTATTTCTGATCACCTGGCAGGAGAAAAAATACTTTTAAAGACACAATTATGTTTTAAAGTATTAATGAAATGTATCCGTGCACCATTTATTTGCCCTTGAATCTGAATCGTTTATCAATGGAAAATACGTTTTGTATACTTTCATGTTTCTGGAAATAAAGTCTTGCCATCATGCTATGTATCTACATTTCATGGTGATCTAACAGACGTTCCTGTGACTCATTTGAAGATTGGCGTTACCGTGCGATTCAGCGCCTAACGTGTTCATCCCCTCGGCGCTTGCCGTACAAAGTGAATTCCTGTGAGTTCGCGGGATTTTAATTGTTGCGAATCGAACTTTACAAGTAACTCTGCTTTCGTTGATGCTTTGTGTTTAGTTTTCTATAGTAAACGAGACGCCAAACCTCGTTTACACCGTTAATCATTGAACGGTGTTGTCATTTTAAGAAAAAAAACTTTCAGTTGTAATAACCGAGTTCATGATGATGATGATAATGAAGTAGAAATATGCTACAGAATCAGGCTGTGTCTGTCCGTGTGTGTGGGAGGGTTATATAGCATTCAGAATTAATTAGGTGCCGGCGAACTGGGTGAGGCGGCTGTTAGCAGCGGAGCTAACTGGATCGCTGCCCGTTACGTTGGCGTTCAGTCCGATCGGCCTCCGTGTTAACCGGTGCCATGCGTTGTCTTTTTAATCATTAATCGGAACCATCGATCTCGTGATAAATGAACAAGTCACTCAGCCTTTGCCTCGGGTTAGTGTAACGTCACCCCATGGAGGCGCTGCGTCTCGTCGCGGATGTCAGCTTGCCCAACCGGTCTGTGAATACAGATACGGAGCCCGTTTCGATTTGCGGCGATGGCCCCGCGGCGGAGCTACATCGTGTCGGTGGACGTGGGCAGCACTTTGGTTAGAAGTCACGTCTACGACGGGGAAGGCCGGGTGCGGGGATCCTGCCAAGCCGAGGTGAGTCCGGGCTGTCACTCTCATTCACCTTCTAACTATATAACTTTGTTTATAGGTTTTTTATATCGCCGCTGTACATTAACTATTTCGTCAACTGTGTATTTTTACTTTTTGACTGTTTATACGGACTGACAGCTGTCGCCGCTGTACCCGGAGCCCGGCCGGGTCGAGCTCGATCCCGAAGCGCTGTGGCGCTGTTTCGTGGACGTAGTTAAAGGCGCCGTTCGCGGTGGGTCCCAATCCTCTGGTACCTCCGGGGGAATTTCACGGGCTGCATTCTTTCTCTTTTCTTTTTCTTTCACTTTCTCTTTCTCACGGCTGACTGGCTTTCTGTCCTTCCACCTGACCAGACTCCGGTGTGCAGATGCGCCATGTAGCAGGCCTGGGCATCTCCACGCAGAGAGCAACTTTTACCACCTGGGACAGGTGAGCGCTTGCTGCGATTCCCTGCCTGCCGTGTGATGCAGATACATTTTACGCCGAGGTCTTAAATTCAGCATCTCGCTGAGCAGGGAGCCACACACTTTGTCCCAGCTTCCTTCTTGAAGCTTGTAGCCCCTAGACTGCAGATGGTCTTGTAGAAGACTCCTGTATTGCCCCCCAGGTGGACAGGTGAGCCTTTCCACAACTTCATTACCTGGCAGGACCTGCGTGCAGCGGAGCTTGTCCGGTCATGGAACCAGTCCTGCACAATGAAGGTGCGTTCCCTGAGGCTTGAGTGGAGTGGGGGCTTCGGCTCACCTGGGCGTGGGGGTCGCTTTGAGCATCCGTTCGCTTTCTCTGTCCCCAGGCCGTCCATGGGGTGATGAAGGTACTGTATTTCCTGACCAGGCAGAAGCGCTTCCAGGCGGCCAGCCTCGTGGTCTTCAACGCCCAGCACGTCACCTTCCGGCTGGTCTGGGTACTGCAGCACTATAGCCAGGTGTGCGTGCCGTGACGCCGTGCCGTGACGCCGTGCCCTGACTCCGTGCCCTGACTGTTGTTTCTGCTCAGGTGTGTAAAGCTGTACAGGAGAACCGGTGCTGCTTTGGGACCATCGACACTTGGCTGCTCTTCAAACTCACAAAAGGTAGGTGTGTGTGTGTGTGTGTGTGTAAGTATTACATGACACCTGAGAAGAGGTGAAACCTGCTCATATGTGTCAGCTTCTCCATTGTAATCCAGGTGCGGTCCATGCTACAGACTACTCCAATGCAAGTTCGACAGGGATATTCGACTCATACCAGGTGGGCCTTTCTGTTTCTCTGAGCGCCAGCACCCAGAATGCTTCACAAAACGGCCACAAAACTGTGCCAGCCGCTTCGCTGCATCCTGATTGGTGTGCTCCGAGTATGATGGCGTGTGATTGGCTGAGGCCTGTTACCCTTGCCTTTGCCCTGCAGATGTGTTGGAGTAGTTTTTTGTGCTCCCTTGTGTCCCTGCCGCTGTCCATTTTACCCACCGTGCAGGACACTGGGTGAGTGATCTGTCAGTGTTTCCAGCATGATGCACACATTTGCTTGAAAAGTGTAATGTGATTAATATAAAATGGTCAGTTTGTGGCGAGAGAACTCAATCGGTTAACAGTCTGTTTGTGTGTCCGGATGGGTGTGAGTTTAAGTCATGTGGTCTGCTGAGTAATTGTATTACAGTTGGGCTCTTGAGCAATGCCTTTAACCCATGCTGCCCCAAGACCTTGCTGTGTGACTCTAGACTTTTCTTACTTGACATTGTGTTTCACAATAGTTTCTGCTCAATTCATTAATTAGAAACGTATCTTCTGCTTCCTTAAGTCATAACTTTGGCTCCACGGATGCCACCATCTTCGGCACGTCCCTGCCCATCATGTGTGTCGTGAGTATGGCAGGTGTGGAGCCTCAGAGTCCATCCCGCTGAGCCGTCGCCACGTTCCAACTCCCTGCCTGCTGCGCTTGCTCTCCTCCAGGTGGCGGACCAACAGGCAGCCATGTTTGGGGAGTGCTGCTTTGATACGGGAGATGTGAAGATCACCATGGGAACTGGAACTTTCATCGACATCAACACGGGGAGCAAGCCACACACCTCTGTGGCGGGTACGAGTAGGGTGACCACCTAATCCATGTCAGGAGCTACAACAGGATTTGTAAACTACCATTTCATACATTTCAATTAAAAGGACCAAGATTTCACTTAAGCACTGGGTTCTTGCGGTATGCTGATTGGTCAGTCTCCTATAATCATGCATATGTGTCAGTAATGTTAATGCGAAACAGCTGGATGAGTCTTTCAATCTAGGAACTAACCAAACATTTTAGCAGAGCACAGAACCCTTTCAGCTTTAAAGTAGTTCGTAAAAGCTGAAGTAGCTCATAGTGTGACATGGATTAGGTGGTCACCCTAGGTACGAGATGGGAGAATCCCAGACACATTCATGGTACGGGGGGGCGAGGACTTACTGTTCTCTTTGTTATAATACGTGTGTCTGTGTGTAGGGCTCTATCCCTTGGTGGGCTGGAAGATTGGGCCAGATGTGGTTTACCTGGCTGAAGGCAATTCAGCTGACACTGGGACAGCTATCAAGTGGGCACAGCAGCTGGGTGAGTGTGGCGACAGTCCTCAAACTGCGATGCTGCTGCCTTCAAAAAAAGCTGCAGCAATATTACCTGTTGAACTTCGATTTGGCTGTTTCTGCGCATCCGTATCCGATGGCTGACTGCTGCACCGCTCTGAGTTAGGGCTGTCGCGATCACGTCGCGATGTAATGCCAATTGTATGGTGCATGCGCAATAATCACCAGGGCTTTAGATGATGGATGAAACATTTATCTGGGTGCTGGCTTTTTGGTGCTATATCGACGTTTACTTATGCCCACATTTTGGTAAGCAGATTAGTAGTGCACCTAAAATATTAATGAGATGCCTGTTGCAAAAGTCTGCATTTGTGTAAATTTGTTGTATCCTTATTTTTTAATAATCCTGTTGGTTATGAATCATTAGTGATAACAGGCTGCTTCTTACTGCTGGAGGCTCGTCAGTCATTGCTGGAGCCGCCGAGCTGTGCGTGTTTAACAGGAAGTGATGTCATCACATCACATGTTCCCTCCACACACAGAGCTCTTTTCAGATGTGAAGGAAACTGAGACGATGGCAAACAGCGTGGAGGATTCAGACGGGGTGTGCTTTGTGCCGTCCTTCAGTGGCCTGCAGGTATGTGCGACATGCATGGGGTGTATATCTGCTGGTCACCTTCTCCTGCTTCTGCTACTGGTTTTGTGCATTAACTCCTTCCCTTCCTTCTGCTCACCTGGCCAGCATTCTTGTAAGTCATTGGTTAGTCTCCTACTTCTCAACATTGACTGAAGCTGGGGTGTTTCCTTTCAACTCACTGCTTTCCTGTGTGTGTGTGTGTGTGTGTGTGTGTGTGTGTGTGTGTGTCTCCCAGGCTCCACTCAACGACCCCATGGCTTGTGCCTCCTTCATGGGTCTTAAACCTTCCAGCACCAAGAACCACCTCGTCCGGGCGATTCTGGAGTCCGTAGCGTTCAGGTGGGTAACGTATGCCACGTGACCCGGAGGGCCGCCTTGGCCGCAGCGATGCCTCGGTCGCCAGTCACAGCCTGGTGCCGCTCTTTCAGGAACAAGCAGCTCTACGACATCATGCTGCGGGAAACTCGAATCCCCATCACCAGGATCAGGTAGGTGCGGCCGGCTATGAGATCCAGGGCTCGGAGGTTCCCGAGGCCGGGCTGCCTGTGACGTGCGTGTACGTGCGACTTCAGGGCGGATGGAGGAGTCAGCACCAACAATTTCATCATGCAGATAACCGCCAACTTGCTGGGGAAGAAAGTGGAGCGCTCAAGTCATTTCGACATGTCCAGCATGGGAGCGGCTTTCATCGCAGGGCTGGTAGTCGGTAAGATTTGGTTATATACATACCTTTGTTTTTCTATGTTTGATTAGACATATACAATATATTTTTGCTGTCCAATGAAATCTACCTATGTCCACTTTAGAAGATGACTTTTACTGTAGATGTAATATCCGCATTCCCCTCAGTCTACCGTGAGCGTTTGACATCTTATTAACGCATGACCAGATGTTTTATGAAGTGGTCTGTTCAACTAGTACCTCCACTGGATGCTGAAAGGTGTCCAGTAAGTGTCCCCTTGTTTGGAAAAGGCGTTGACTTCGACTGCAGAATTCTGGGTAAAATATGAATTATTAAGAATCACGACTGTTGAGCATTATTATTATTATTATTATCAGTGATGTGCTGAGCTGATACCAAAGATCAGACTCAGAGTCAATCCAGCCAAATCTAAAGCTTATCTATTTCATTTCCCTAATCCACCCAGTTTGCATCAGTACCACAGATTGTAAGGTTCCGTCACATGCTGCAGTAAACCTGAGGCCCGAGGCTTAAAATTACAGACTATAAAGATGTCAAGGGTGGAGTAACATTATACACTGGAAACTCGAAGTAGCCAAACAGCTACCTGTGATGTTTGCAATGGCATCCTTCCCTGAAGAGGTAGCAACAGAGTGTCGTTTAATACAGCAAATCTGATTAGGCACTTCCAGAAGTTTCATAAGGAAGAATACTGTGAAACTACAAGGGTTACTCAGAAGAAGAATGCACCGATGCCTAGTCTATTCGTATGTGTTCGTAAGAACTTATTAATAGATTGGATTGGTACTCGGAATCGGCAAATATAAATATTGAATGGATCAGGTAAAAAATGAGAATTCAGAAAAAAAAAGCCCCTTATTATTGTTGTTATGCTGTGAGGATGGATCCCAATTGGGGTTGGGCCAGTATCTGAATTTGCATTATCAATTATTGCCACAAAAAATGTCTAGATTACTGATAATATCAAAACACGTGATCGAAAACATGTGTATGTAGCCTATTTTGCATTTCCATTCACAAGCAATGCAAAGGTATTGTTTGTTTAAAATTCCATTAGAACAGTTTTACCAATATTTAGTTTCTATTTGGCAGGGCATAGATACTGAACAGGAAGATTTACGATCTTAACGCAGGTCTAGCACATGAGCAGGAAATACTGACCAAATAAACAGTGCACCGACAGTGGTTATTATTGTATAACGAAAGTAAACGATGCCCAAAAGAAACTGCGGAGCGTAGAAATAACAATAACCATCATAGTTGTTTGTATGTTTTAGTACACTCTCATTAATTAAATATATAGGCAAACTGCTATCGCCAGATGAGGAACTTAAACGGTAACCAGTTTACGCATTTTTAGCAAGGAACGCAAGCATGTTTATTTGGCTAGGTTTTAGCTGTGCACACAGTGGACATGCAGTGTGCGTCATCTTTTTCGTGGGATGTTTTTATCGCAGAACGGCAGGAGAAAAATATTTTTTTTTGTGTGTTTGTTTTTTAATCCGATAGCGCAGTTTGACCCTTTGTAAATAGAATTAGCTGTTGCTAACAATGAAAAGTCTTTACGCATTTTTTCGATTTATATTGATATAGTTGGAAAATAACCAATGAGGAGGAAAAAATTGTATTGATCCGTAATCTATATTATACGTCCAACCCTAATCCCAGTCGCTGTCCGCTGCCATATCTCCTCCTCACCTGGCCGCTTTCACGGAGGTACTAACAGCTGTGTTCGCTGTAGTTTCAGTTTTGCGTAATTGCTGACCTCCTGACCCCCAGCCCAGTGTGTGTATCCTGATCCCCTCGTGAGCGCTGGTTCCGATATCCCCGCATCTGGATGAGGGCCTGCCTCTCCCTTCACTTCCCAGGATTTTTTGGCCTTTCCTTTAGTGTTTTGGTTACCTGTTTGCTCTGCATTTGGGTCTCCTCTTCCCTTCATGGGTTTTCACCAGCAGCAGCCCCAAATATATTTAGACAAAAATGTATCAGTTTCCGTTATCCGTCAAAATGTCCTCATCAGTACCCTACTAACTGTAAGGTCGTTACTGAAATGGGTCTGTCAAATTAACTTTGTTAAAAGAAAGGGCACTTTACTGGTTTTTAACAAACTGATTTCCCAATGTTAGAAATGCTAAAGAGAAACCTTGTTTGCCCTTTATTATAAGACCTGTCTTCTGCCCCCTCCCCCCCCCCCCTTCCTGTTGCGTAATGTAACACAGTCCTGTCATTTATTGAAATTGCTTCGGGAGAAAGAGGGAGGCCTTTGGCTTGAAGCAAGGGATCTCCCCGCAAATGCAAACATGGCAGAATCATTTTCACGCAAGAATGAGGTCGCATAGGGATTGAGGGAACGATCGCAATTGAGCTCTCAAATGAGATCGCATAGGGGTGTAAATCAACACCACGATTGAAAACTAATTACTCATCAACATTAGTGTCAGATAATTTACTTAAATCGATGGTTGTCACTAGAAACCTGAAGAAAGTTTGCACTGCTGTTTGTTTGAATCGGATACTGCTGCCAAGGTAAAGTGATACGCTACACCTCTTGTATGAAAACTATTTATATTTATATTAGTTAACATTTGTTTTCATGATGGTCCCCTGTATCGGCTACTTTTATTACTCATTTTAACAACTTAATGTTGATAGCTAGATAATCAGAGCTTTATCTTACTATGTTATTTCCAAACATTTAAACTAGTTGTTGATAACCTTCGGAGTTCTTGGAATATAGTGAACTGGGAGACTAATTTCGAAGTAATTGTGCGCCATTGGAATGCGTGATAAGCTCTACAATCGCCGTAGTAGTACATTTAAAACGCTAAATCATTCACTGATGGCTGTGTGAAGATCGGTTTCTGTTTGTGGTGCAAAGGGAGACGCATTACAATTTTTCTGGTTTATTTTGCAAAATAGTTTCAGAGAAAATGTTTTTCATGCTCCTGAAATATTAGATTTTTGGAGATGAGTGTTGTTCATTGGACAGTGGTGATATCTACCCCTGATAATGTGCATACATGTGCAGTGTTGAGTATACTGTCATGCGGTGTTTCTCACTGCCCTGTGGGGGCTTTTGTGCCACCATGTTGGGCCCTTCTCTCCTGCAGGCTTCTGGAAGAGTCTGGGGGATCTTAAACGGTTGCACCAATCCGAGCAGGTGTTTGTGCCACAGGTGGAGCGCCGACTCTACACGCCAGTGTTGCAGGGATGGGAGAAAGCAGTGCACCGCTCTATGCATTGGTACAGCAAAGACCTGACGAAACGTTCTGCTGGGCTGAGGATGGCGCCCCTTGGGGACCAGCAGTGACACTACTGCACCGAGGCCAAACCTCAGACAGCTATAGCTACTGATTAACCCGTGTTAATTAATCTGTACGTGATGACCAGCAGCTGGTGTGTATACAGCCCCTCATTCCTCAACAGCTGCAGAAATACAGTGAAAGGCATTTTTTTAAAGTAACTGTGTTAATCGAAGATATCTTTCTCATGGGAACAAAGGGGCGATGTCACTATGCAGATCATTCAGTATGACTGCACTGTCGTGTTGCAGTTTACACACTGTGTGTGACCAATGTTCTGAAGGCATCTCTGCTTGGAGACATTTGACTCTGTAAGAACCATGTGATCCCCGAATGATCTCTAAGGACACTTGGGGCACCCATGCAGAATGAGAACCTTATGAAGGTGCTACACAGGCTAGAGACCCGGCAGCAGCGATTCTGCTGTAGTGTCAGTGTTTACAGCTCAATTGAAGTGGCATTTATGGGATGATTCCTCAGCCAAAAAAAATGTGGTTTCCTGTAGAAGATGGACTGCGTGTTTGCACCCTCCTTCAGGTGAATGACACTGTCCCTCATCATGCCTGTTTCTGTGCCAGAGTGTCCAGTTCTGTTCAGGGTGTTTCAGGTTGTTCCGAATTTTTAACATCATTAAAATCAGTGAAACATTTTGATTCAATGCCCCATTGTTTGAATGTTAATGATCTGAGATCCTTTGAAGTTTCGCCAGGCTGCGGGGTGTAATTTAAGATGGGCATTTCAGTAGCGGCCTGCCAACAGGGGGGACGCTATCTATGAGAGCCAACTTCAAAGGTCTTCCACAGGCCGTGCCAAACTGCAGGTTCCAATCAGAGACAGCCTTCAGTGAAGCTCTGCTGATGTCGCATTCTCTGATTGGTTAAACGCTATGCTGTCATACACAAAGAGTCTCGCAGAATGCTTTGCCTGGTGCTATTTATATGGCTTAAATATTACAGCTGATTCATCTGTTTCAGCAGACGTTTTTTTCCATTGAAACTTAAAAGTCTTTTTTAAGCGTGTGCCCTTTAGTTGACTTGAAATATTATGTGCCTCTGCTGAGCAGAGCCCAGGAAATGAGCAGGTCAAACTACTTTTACTTTAGGTAATACATCCATATCCGGCTGGTTTTTTCCCCAGCTACTACCAGTTTCGCGCACGTTTTAACCAAATGCTTGCTGTGAGGTCACCATGTCTGATGGACGAATGTCAGGTAAGATGTACAGTTGGGGCACTGCGGTCTGTTTACTGGTGCCAGTTTATCCAGACGGAGCGGGCAGTACTGGGGCACTGAGTGGGTGTATTCTGCACTTTTGGGTGAATTTCCACATTGAGGTGTGAGCCCCTCCCTCCTTCCCTCAGCACGGCCTGCCTACTCAATGGGAGGCTGCCTTCATCCATGCAGCAAACCTACAGATGAAAAAGTGGGTGGAGTGCAGTGTGGGTAATGGCTGTGTCTGGGAGGAGCTTGTGCATTTATACTGTCACGGGCCTCATCTCCCCACATGCTCTACAGCAGGGCTATTCAACTCGGGCATCTTGATTCCAAATCCAGGCCTTGTTTTCAGATCTCCCAGGTGGTTAGTGTAATAATTACTGATTCTGATTGGTCAGAGGCTTCACACCTGGCTCACAGGTGAAGGAAGGCTGGAAAATCTGCAGGGCTCGGCCCTTGAGGACCGTGAGTTAAATAGCCCTGCTCCTGGGGATCTACCACCCTGCAGATCTTAGGTGCAGCCCTAATTTAACACATCTGATAGAGGTAAACAGGCCCTTCAATAGCATCTCGGTATCTGAGCCAGCTATGTCAAAACTAAGCTGGCTCTAATACTGAGATATTACTGAAGGGCCTGATTATCTGTATCAGGTGTGTTAAATTGGGGCAGCATCTAAGCTCTGCACGGTGGTAGATCTAATGGGGCAGGTTGGGCAGCCCTGTTCTACAGCACCAAAAGCAGATTATTGAAAACTGGAAAAAGTTACTGTGTGGGCAGCGGACACAAGGTGGCCTGTGATGCAAGTGTGGGAACCGAAGCCAGGAAGCAGGGGCAACAGGTATCGGTTAGCCTCACCTGTTACTGGCAACACCCCCCAGACAACACCTGGCCTCCAAAGACCCACAGAACCCATCTTTTCATAAGTGAGGTTGAGACTTTCAGCAAGAGGGGGAGAAAGACTGCCAGTGTGAGACAGCGTTCCAGCAAGAAATAGTGTCAGACACTACCAGTATGAGACAGTGTATCAACAATAGTGTGTCAGACTGTACCAGTGAGACAGTGCACCAACAATAAAGTGTCAGACTATTGCAGTGAGACAGTGCACCAACAATAAAGTGTCAGACTATTGCAGTGAGACAGTGCACCAACAATAAAGTGTCAGACTATTGCAGTGAGACGGTACCAGCAAGAGAGCATCAGATTGCCATTGAGAAAAAGAGCAGCAGAGACTGTGCCAGGGAAAGGCTTCTATGGGAAGGTAAGTTGAGCCCCAGCTCTGTTCTCACACTTCTCAAAGGGCTCCGTTAAAGCAAATCAGTGCTGCTATTAAATTGTCACTGACATAGACAGAGTAGGACTGTTGAGTGACCCCTTGTCTGTGCCCCACAGTGTTGTGTGAGAACATGGGTTGCATATCTGCAAAGGCGATGTGTTTACATAGTTGTGTCGTAGTGTACGAATCGTCAGGCAGGGCTGTCAGATGACCTGCGCTCTGCCAGGGTTTTCCGTCAGGTCCTTTGGCAGTAATCTGCTTACCATGCGGAATGTTTGAGGGTCTAATTAAAAGCAGATTTGCCATAGGTGGGATCTCAGTGTTCGGCAGCCTATGGCAGGTGTTACACTGCATGTAACCTCAGCACAGATTTTCCCAGTGTGCTCACTGCAGCTGACTGTCCCAATTCTCTATTCCAACTGTGCTATTACAACACTAACCAAAAAGAAGGAAAGCTCTGGTCGCATCTGTGGTCAGCCTGTCATTTCTCCTGTTTCCAGCCAGTTCAGGGTGAGAGGGGTGGAATCATCCCCAGGCTTAAATCGTAGTCAGGTAAGTAGTTACCTCATTTGCTGCTAGGGCAGTATATTGATGCTGTTTAAGTGTAAGATTTAAATGGCTCACATTAACACATCATTTTACAATTAATTACTTTTTGATTCACCGTGAGACCACTTTTCCTTTTTGTAGTATGTGTTGTGGAAAAGACTTCAAATAGCTAAGACAGGTAGAGTTACGGTTTTTATTACGTTTGGCGCATTCAACTGCTGACTTCACTTAGGCAAGCAGTTGGTTCAGGGGCCAGCTGTTTACCCTACCGTCATCCACCACGTTGCAAAATACTGTATCATGTTAAGGGAACCCAAGAATATCTTGGAATCTGGAGAGCGAGGAAGCGCGCATGCGCACCGGCATCCCGGCTGCCTCGCCGCTCCAACGTGGTTGGTGCGGAACTGCGCTTAGGGTCTGTCAGGGGACGGACCTTCTGGAGAGCGTCAGTCATCGGCACAGACCCCCGGGTGCACGGTCACTTTAGCACCGTTCATTTACGCACACCAGCTCCAGCTCGTTTCTGCTTAAGGAAATCTACAGTTCAGCCATGGCGAAACATAGAGGGAAAGATGAGGAGGAGAAACAGCACCAGACCAGCTGGAAGGATTTTATTTACGACCGGAGAAGCGGAGAGTTTATGGGACGGACAGCCAGTGGTTGGGGTAAGGAGCTCCTTTAGGGGCGACTGAAGTGTAGATTAGTAACTGACTGAAATGATGTGTGCGCAAAATCTTTTTTTTCATTCATACTTTTACCGTTTAAAAGAATCTGTGTTTACGAACATAGCAGAGGTCTTAAGCATGTTTTTGTTTTAATGATGCACAATAGTTTTGGTACCTCGCCTTACCTCTCGTGCCCAGCTCCTTTCACAATAAGTGCTTATTAGAAATGCATATAGATGATCACCATTATACCTCCCATTCAGTGTTATCCTGCACAGAAAACTGCTTATATTACCGCCCCTCCAACTACGATCATGAACTCAACGCTTACAAGTAAAACTGCCAAGGCCAAGGCAACACGTGACACCGCAGATTTCAAGTGTTATCGATATTAGGAACAGACTCCAGGTATTATAGGTTTAACCAGATTTACGATTAAACTAATCCGTTAAGTCGTGTCGCTGCCGCGGAACAGGTATGTATTCATATTAAACAAGTCAGCCATGTACAGTACGGGTACCTTTACTATTAGGCTATAGCAGTCTGATTGATGACATAAATGTCTTGCGTGCGGAGTTCCCGTTCATTGTGAATGCCATATTCCTTCCATACTCTTCAGTTTGACCCCCTGGTTCTGAGTAATCTTCCTCTTCTTTTGATTACGACATGGCAGCTTCCCAGGGTCGTCTTGAAGGGGAGCCTTCGCAAGATGCCAGTCGTGCAGAAAACACTCTATTTTTGGCTCCGCGTTGAATGTCTTCTCAATAGACATATCGAGTGTGACGCTTGAAGGGGGCGACTTATTCTCATGTTACTGTACACTAAATGCGGACTCTTTCTGCGCCGGCATTCGCGGTGCCGTGGGCGCGGTGCCGGCTTTCATGGGCTCGGCGGTGACCGGAATTCCTGTGTACCGCTCTCTGCTGAGGCATATTGGCATCCTTCCGCATGTGGACGGAGCTCTGTCGATACCTTAGTTTTTGCTTTCCTGCTGCAGGTCCAATCAGCTCATTCTTTGAAGCAGCGGTTTGGTTTCGGCTTTAATGAGGATACTCCGGTTTCAGGAAATCACTAGAGGTCTTTCTTTTGGAGTACCTCCAGATTTATAGCGGGATTTTTTACTCTGTCCAGGAAATGTCATCCTACTGTAGGAATAGAAGGATATATTATGTTTCTTGAGTTTCCTGAGTGTATATTTGGCTGTGTGCTCAGCAGAATATGGTTGAAAGAAGGTTTATTCCAGTGTATTTTATCGCGTACTTTTGTAGTGGCATTAATATTTTCACACACTGAAGCCATGTTAAACGCAATATGCATGTAAAGAGTCAAATCTGTCCAGTGCCAGGAATTCTGGGTAACCCACTAGAATGTATATCATGGGAAAATTAAATTGGAGGCCTCTGTGTTCTGCGAGAGCTGTCCTTGCCTGGTGCTTTGCCCTAAAACCTTCCCTACTCTCTACATCTCCAGCTCTCATCATCCTCTTCTACCTGGTGTTCTACGGCTTCCTGGCTGGCATGTTCACGCTCACCATGTGGGTCATGCTTCAGACGCTGGATGACTACACTCCACGGTACCAGGACCGAGTGGCCAATCCAGGTGATTTCTAGGCCAGGGAGTCCGGTCCAGGGCCGAGTGGAGTAGGGGCTGCTGTGTTTGGGTCTGTGCTGTTCTTTGCTTGGGAATGCAGCCTGTTTCTGACCGGGTTTGGACTGGGATTAAAAGCGAGTCCTGGATTTTTGTCCATACAGGCTCACTACACATACATGCTGATTGGAAGGGTGGGAGTCCCCCACAACAAATTGTGTTGGCCCACAACCTCGTCGGCCCACCGGGGAAATGCCCGGTATGCCAGATGGCAAGTCCAGGCCTGTGTCTGTCTGAATGTTTTCCAGTCAGACCCCTTTCAAATATGTCTTTCCTCTCACCAGCTGTGACTGTTGTGTAAACCTGGAACTTAATTCTGACTTCTTGGTAATATATCTTTTAAATATAGCTATAGTTGTAAGTGGTTAATTTTCATATTTAAGATGGGGCCTGTTCTGTAGCCGTGTCCTGCTATTGGCCATATTTCACTTGTGGGGCGGGGCTTATGGTTATATTAGTTATAGGGTCATTAGCATGCTGCTTGATAAATAGGGGAGTAAATTCAGGGAGTGCTAGATCACACCACTATCACCTGACACTGGACTTTCATTCGCCTTCAGCTCTGACTCCTCCGAGAGGCACATTAATAGTCCTCATGGCTCCAGTGAATTGAGAGACAGTGTGAGACTGATTCATTGTGAGGTTGTTTTGGGCAGTATTTCCTTTACTTGACTGAATAGCATGAAAATGATACAGGGAGATCAGCAATCAGAATGATCTGGGGAAAACATTACGGTGGTTCTTTGTTCCCCAGAAACACGCCCCATTTCCTGAGTACTTCCTCCTCGCCCGTTTTCCCACCATTGCGTAACTGTCTTTAAGAGGTAAAGCTCTCTGTCGCCACATGTGTCATTTCCCTCAGGCCTTGTGATCAGACCGAAGACCATGGATATTCTGTTCAACAGATCAGAGCCCTTGAACTACGGTCCGTATGTGGAGCAGCTGGAGTCGTTCCTACACCGTAAGTGGTAAACTGTCCGCTCGCCTTACCTTCGCTCGCAAACACCGAGACGGGCATGTAAACAGAGACGGCCCTCAGTAGATGAAGAAATAACTGTGTGTTGTATGACTCGCCTGTCCATGAGAACATCAAACACCGGAGGGGTAAGTTTCACTGCCGTGTGAAAGCGTGTGAATGTTTGGGAAAAGATGTGAGTGTGTGTGCAGCAAAGCCTACTTGTGGGGAAAATAAGAGCACGTGTGTGTGTGTGTGTGTCTCCCTGCCAGAGTATGATGACATGGAACAGAAGAACGAGCAGTGTGTGGCTGGCCAGTTCTTTGAGCAGGACACCCACCCACAGAAGAAGGCCTGTCAGTTCAGCCGGAGCGTCCTGGGACCATGTTCCGGCCTGCTGGACCCCAACTTCGGCTACCCCCAAGGCGAGCCCTGCGTGCTGGTCAAGATGAACAGGGTGAGTCGTGGCAGTCGTCTCTTTCTGCTAGACGTTCTCATGTTACTTCACACCTGGTCCTCCGTACCGGCCCCAGCTTAAATCCGCTCTATCATCCTCTCTTCCTCCAGGTCATTGGGCTGAAGCCGCGAGGAGATCCTCACATCAACTGCACGGCCAAGGTAACCGCGATCCTGGTTGCTTTGGCAGTCATTCAGGTCCCGTGTAGTCGCATGAGGGCAGCCTCTCAGATGATTGGACTGCGTACGTACTGCATAAACTCAGCCGTTACGTTCTGTCCTGCAATGGAATGACGGCTTTCTAAGTAAGACTGCGACAGCTCTGGGTGATGTTTAGCTCTGCATTGAGGGCGCTTTATGCTGCAGCATGTCTTCTGTCTGTCCCAGTGTTATCTGTGTTCATGTCTCTGTTTTTATTTCGTCTCTCTCCATGCTGCCAGCTGAGAAATTAGTGAACTACTGGGTAAGAGGAACAGTCCGAGGCGTCCCCAGGTCCTAACGCTAAATAGGATTCAGTCTCTCAGTCTATCCCTCACTCTTGCAGCTGTAGGATGGCTTGTGTTTTACTGCTTTTACATAGCGTCCATACAGACCATGATGTATACCTTCATATCCCTTAGCTTCAGAAGGCGCAGCTCTGTCTAGCTCTTTGAGTCAATTTTTTCCCCAACCCAGTCCTCGGGGACCCCTAGACAATCGATGTTTTTTTGCTCCCTACCAGTTCCCAGCAATTAGCTGGGAGGGAGCAAAAATGTGGACTGTCTGGGGGTCCCCAAGGATCGGGTTTGGAAACACTGTTCTAGCCCAGTAAAAGACCACCTCACCATCAGTTTTTCCATTGATAAATTCACTCAAATTGACTTCAGAGCAAATGGGATAATAAATGCAAATTTTGAAGTATCTTTTCATCTTCCGACCTTTTATCGTAGATGGTCATAGGGCACCTTGAGCCTATACCAGACAAAGTAGGCTGGGGAGCAACTTAAACGTAATGCCAGTCCATTGTGATACACACATACACAAAATGGGGAATTTGGAGATGCCAAATTTTGTTACACATCTTGTAACATTTTGGCGGGAAAAACCTTTGAATCCATGCTCCCGTTTCAGCTCGTTTTGCCCTTTGGCTGCCATCACCTTGTGGGTGAGGTTGACCTATGACCTTGTCCTCATGACGCTACTGTTTGACATGAAGGTATACAAGCAGTTTTTCTCCAGCTGCCTCCCCCCCAAGCCACTGTGACTAACCCCTGATTGGCTGCTTTCACTGCGCTCCCACATTGTCGCTTGTTCAGACTAAGACTGCGCTTTTGTTAGAGGGGAAGGGGACTCCAGTAGTCAGACAATGCAGGCTGTCTTTTCTGTGTTGATTTATCGCAGAGTTATTTGTGCATGCTTCACAGTCTGCCCCCTACTGGCGCAGTCTAGATATAGACATCATCTAGACCAACACCCATATTTATAAGCGGTAGGATCACAGGAGACCCGTACCTCTTTTGTGCATCTTCAGAGTGTCAGTTACATGATGTGCTCATTTTATAACATTAAGAGAAAAGGACACGGAAAATAATGCTGTAGTGTAGCCTGCAACACACATTAGTGAAATGATAGTTAATGGTTCAGTTAGACATGCGAGAATGGTACGTTTTCAGCCAGTTGTCTGTGGGACAGGTTTATATATGGTCTTCTACTGGTGTCCCTATTACAGCTGAAAAACCAGCTCTGCAAAACTTTAAAACAACTGTAACAAAGACATGATACCACAATCAGGAAATGCGGTGGATGTAGTTTATGGGATATCACTTTGGTGACAGGCCTGTGTCGACAAATGGGATGTTTTTAGATGTCACTGATAGATTATAAGCTGGTTGTGGAGGAATTTTCACGAGGTGAATGCTGCCACAGACTGCCTGGTTTTTCTGGTATTGTCAGTGGGACACAAATATTTCTATTTGTAGCAGCTTATGAAATCCTCATCCGGTTAGTGCACGCCAGCTGAACGACAGCCGTAGTGTCTTGACTTATTCCCCAAAATGTGTTCGCTTAGGTGGGCTCAACGGGCAGCTCTCAGAAGATTAAATACTCAGAAGATTAAATAGATTAAATCAATGTTCCTCCCTCAGTTCCTGAGCTCACGGGAGTTTTTCTTGCATAAAAATGGTCTGAGGGCAGAACGAAAAGGTTCAGAGAGGTAACCAACAGGTTGTAGAGAGGGTGGGTCCAAACAACTACAGGAGGCAGGACCAACCAATCAGATGTCTTGATCTTGCCTCCTGTAGTTGTTTGGACCCACCCCCTCTACAATCTGATTGGTTATCTCTCTAAACCAATTATTTTTCATTCTGCCCTCAGAACATTTTTATACAAGTAAAACTCCCATGAGCAGTTCCTGATGTATGGTGTTTTTCCGTGACTTTTATTATATTTTTAAATCTCCATTTTCCTTCTTTCCACAGAACGAGGGCTCTCTTCAGATGCAGTACTACCCTATCGAGGGAAAGTTTGACAGGATGTACTTCCCATACTATGGGAAGAAGGCCCAAGTGAGTGTCAGCTTCTCCCCTTCAATCCTACTGGGGACAAAATGTCTAAAAACGAAGATGAGAACTGACTCTGCTGTCTCTGTTATGCCTAGGAGACGTACGTCCAGCCCCTGGTCGCGGTGAAGTTGCTGTTGACTAAGGAGAACTACAATACGGAGCTGACTGTTGAGTGTAAGATCGAAGGCACCAACCTACGTAACGACGATGACCGTGACAAGTTCCAGGGCCGCGTGACGTTTAAATTGACAGTGACTGAATGAGAGCTGTCGTTTCCTGAGTGCTGCCATGAAGGTGGCGCAGTGGCTATCAGCCAAATCTTGCCTTTTCTGTCAGCCTGGACTGGGGACCCAGTCTGCGCTGAGGGGTTGGGATGGGCTTGTTGTTGGCAGGGGGGTGTTTCATTTCAGCAGTGTGTTTCCACTTCTTGTGACTCGCTCAGCCCCAACTGAAATATAAGAACAAGAGAAGAATATACACGCCTCATTACCTCCTACTGCCTGTAACTCCTCTCTGTACCTCTCAGTGCCCTGTAACCCCTCTCTGTACGTTCCAATGCCCTGTAACCCTTCTCGTTACCTCTCAGTGCCATGTTGCCCCTCTCGGTACCTCTCTGTGCCCTGTAGCCCCTCTCGGTACCTCTCTGTGCCCTGTAGCCACTCTCGGTACCTCTCTGTGCCCTATAGCCCCTCTGTGTACCTCTCTGTGCCCTATAGCCCCTCTGTGTACCTCATATTGTCCTGTAACCCTTCTGTCAATCCCAAAAGTAATATAAAACAAGGCCATTAAGCTGTGGTCGGGTGCCATACTAGAAATCTGTAAATAGGTGAACTTGTTTTCCCCAGTTCTCTTTGCTGTTTGGGTTTTTTGCTTTTCTCTATGTACATATTTAATGAGTTCTGTAGCACACTGTTTTAGTTGAGTAATTATTTGAAAGAAAATATCAATGAATAAATGTTTTTAGTCAGGTCAGAGTTTTAATGAAAATGAATTATAAGGTGAGTGATTTTTGTAAGCTGTGCAGGACCTGTGCTTCATGCAGATGAAATGTAGACAGCTAAAAATAAATGTGATTTTGAACACTGTATGCGCATGCACATGGCATTCGTCCAAATGTTTAAGCCGCTTGCTTGTCCTTCAGCTACGAGAGGGCACCACACTCGCCATGACTGATTTATAGTACAGCAGCACCATGTGGCTTTCTATGACGTCTGAAAGGAACTCATGTAAAAAGAGTATCCCCCCCCCACACACACACACAACTGCTTTTTTTGTCTCCAACCTCACTGGGAAATTCTGCTTCAAGTTTGTCAAACAAAAATCAGGGAGGTAAAATACTGCCCGAAATGAAAAAATTCTAATTCTTCACCAGCAGTGTTAACTCAATGACGGCTGTATTAAACACAGACATGCAAGAGTATGTGATGAAGTATGATTTTTAAAACTTTTTATTGTTTCAAATCACCTTGTTCGAAGCACATTCAGGAGGAATATCTGAGACTTTTCTCCATTCCTTTTAGTCACAGTACACCTTTAATATCTTTAACCCTTCCTCACTTCTCAAGGCAAACGGAAGCCAAACACCCAAATGAAATCACCCTTTCATGTGAATTGATGAAAGCGCAGCCACTCGCACAAAGGGGCCATTATTGTGGGATCACTAGGCGCCAAATGCCCAGCTGAGTGTTGTATTAAACAAGGTTCTGTCTTTTGGTTTACTGCTTGCAGAGCTACACCCGCAGAATCCTTGTCATGTTCCTAAAGTAGTGAGTGATAAACCATCTAAATGCAAAAATCTTTTCCCAGAACTGTGTTTGCCAGCTGCAGAAAATATTCAAACTACCGGCGCTCATTTGGAGCAGGTTATACACAGTTGCTTGGTTTATGTTAAACATAATTCCATGGTATACAGGATTAACATACAAATCATCAAGCACTTTTATAAAAATAAATTGCTTTCTTTGTGTTACTTTTGCATCAGTTGTCTGCCAAAATTATTCTAAATTTCACAACCAATCAGTAGGTTTGCACCATGCATCACTGATACTACTTTTTAAAACTGTGTCCGCAGTATTTGCTGGTCTTATTTGATTCATTTCTTGCCGTCAGTTTTTATTTACTTCTGTTTTTACTGGCCAGTTAGTCATGAGTTCACATTGACAACCTCATTGAGGTAAACAGATGATGCGGTACAGAATGTCACGATCCTCTTCATTGGCCACATGCGGTTCACGGTCGTGTTGTCCTCATCCACTAACTCTCCCACTCCTTCGCTTCCGACGGAGCCCACGTATCTGTTTGACCTTCTGTTAGGACATTGCTTCGACGTGATAAGAGTCTGTCCACCTGCACAACTGGTTCTTGTTTATGATCCTCCGACTGTTAACTCCTTCATGTCCTACAACAGCCACAACGAAATATGTACATGCACTCATGTGCTGTTACCATTTACTAACTTGGTTTTAGATGGAATTTGCATGATAATTAGAAACAAAATACAAGTATTATGGTGTTGTTATAGAGGGTGGGGGCATATGCCCCCCAGTAGTTAATTTGGATTCATTCACTCAGAAAATAATTTTTTGTATTTAAATGAAGTTGTGTCACCCCCAATATCAAACTCTCTCCTACGCAGTTGGTTACAGATCTTACTGCTGGAGGCTTCATAGAAGTGTACAGGTGCCTGATCTTCTCTCGTCATCAAGTCCATCTCCAGACTCGCATCGATTCGGGTCATTCAGCTCATCGAAGAGTCCAGTTTCTATCATTTCATTCTGCCAGGCAATGGCCACAGCTCCTGTGCTGAACTCCTTGAAGAATTTTTCATCCTTGGCGTCGAATTCAATCCCCTTGATCTCTGAGAAGTCGATAATGTCGCTGGTGTCCTTGGCGTACACCACATTGGGCTTTGGCACCCAAGGGGGGGCAATCAGGCCCGCTTCCAGGCGAGGGAAGTTGATGGACTTGAAAAATGCATGCTTCCGTGGATCGTCACCCCTGAAGGAGACAGACAAACCCTGGTATCAAGACCATCAATGACACTCAAGCATATATACCCACTGAGCACTTCATTAAGAACAATATACTAAACTCATACTATACTATACTAAAAAGTGTTGGAGAAAGTTTTATAGTGGGCGGACAAAACCTAATGATTTAAATTTCAATGGTCTGTTGAGGGGATGAATGAATCCAAATTAAATATTGTGGGGGTACACATCCTCGTCGAGTTCTACACACCTGGGTGGGGCCTCCCTTTACTGTTAAAACAGCCTCAGTTCATCATAGTCTTAATTCAATTGGGATTTTGGTCCATGCTGACATGATTGCATCATGCAATTTCTGCAGATTTGTCAGCTGCCCATTCATGCTATGAATCTTGTTGTACCATAACCCAAAGTGTTCTGTTGGATCCAGATCCGGTGACTGGGAAGGTCACTGAAGAACACTGAACTCATTGTCATGTTCATGAAACCAGTTTGGGAAGACTTTTGGGGAACACTTTGCTTGACGGGGCACAAGTAACTGAGTTACTACTCAAGTACAAATCATGAACAAAAATAGTAACTGCATGAAATACATGAACCGTTATGATTGATTAATGATGAACGAACATGGGATCAGTACATAACATATTGGTTAATTAATACATTAAGTAAAGTTATACCACTGCATTATTTATGCCTTTGCTGTTTATTTGCTGTAAATAGTTGTTAGAAGATGAGTAAATTGTACACATGAAGGGATGCAACAATACTCAGGTTGTGGCTTTCCAACAATGACTGATTGGTATTAATGGGCCTGAAGTGTGTCATGAAAAGATTCCCCCACCCATTACATGTGCACCACTTGGATTATTGGCACAAGGCAGGTAGGATCAATGAATTCATGCTGTTTACATCAATTTCTGACCCAACCAGAGATATTTCTCTGCTGGCCACATTTGTTCAAGGTGGTTATCTGAGCTAGCATTGCCTTCCTGTCAGCCTGAACCAGTCTGACTGTTCTCCTCTGATCTGTCTCATCAATAAGGTGTTTCCGTTTGCAGAGCTGCCGGTCACTGGGGTAAACTGTAGAGACCATTGTGTGCGAAAATCCTAAGAGATCAGCAGTTAAAGAAACATTCAAACTGGGCCGTTTGGCACCAACAGGCGTTCCTTGTTCAAAGTCACTGAGATCACATTTTTCCTCCATTCTGGTGCTTGATATGACCTTCACCTGAAGTTCCTGACCTGCATCTGCTGTTTGATTGTGTGAATAAATGTGATAATAATAAAGTTCTCAGTGAATATATATATTTATACAAAATAATCCACATGCCCAGGATGCAAATTAGAAAACTGGCTACTCACTTGCAGCCGAGACGATCGTCAATGTTCTTCTTCAGGAACAGGTTTATGATGTCTTTGGTGACATCATCAAAGCCCTTGTGCTCAAACTTGACCTCATCTTCACAGATGCGTTTTTGGATGTCATCCTTAGACATTTTCCTTGTCTCGGGCCCCCTAAAGGGTGTGTAGGCTGCCACCATCTCATAAATACTACATCCCAGTGCCCACCAGTCCACTGAAGTACGGTACGGGATCTCCTTCAGGATCTCCGGGGCCATGTATGCACCGGTGCCAGCCTACACACAGCGGACAGAATGGGGCGTCACATTAACATTCCGTTTACATTTACATACTTAAATCCAAAGTGATGTACAAGTGAGGAAAATAGAACATTACAAACATATATGCTGTCCAGAAGTGAACTAAGCATAAGTGCGGCTAGACTGAGCTTCCAGTGATTGCCCATCTTCAGGGGCACCTGCGACGAACTTTAGGAAGGTGGTGAATGACAGACAAAAGTGAAATCCATACACCCAAATAAAAACTATCCTTTGAAAGCAACTTTGTTTGATCAACCCCTTTGGACTAAATAAATGTATCTTCAGCACTGCTCTTCCTGCACTGCAGTGAGGGTGATGACACTGTAGAAGAGACAATTTGTCATGGGCTCCATTTCCGGTTCAGCTGTGTGTTATCGTATTTATTTTATGTAACTGTGGGGCTTTGTAGTGCTCCTGATTGAACCCTTACTTCAGTCAGTGAATCAGCTTAATTTTAATCCTACCTGTAAAGTCAGGTGTCATGTAGCTGCCTAACAGCAACAAAACACACTTTATGCTAACAAAAAGAATTCTAGTTCACAACACTGCCGCTTGAATCAAACCACTCCCACCAACAACGATACCCCGGCTAGCTGTACAACTGCAATAGCACTTAGCTATAGCTGTTACCTCGTACTTATGCTTAAGCCTAGAACTCGGAAGACTAAGAAACCACTAGATACACCGCTAATAGTCGACCGTAATAGTAAACTCAATTAATTTCGATAAAGAAGTCATTAAGGCTACATAAAATCAACGTCATGCCCCAAAGTCTCGGGTCACATTCTCTCTCCCCAGTTAACAACCGTGATATGACTGATGTAACAGACATTTGTCTCCTTGTCATGTACCACACTGAGAGACACGTGTACTTACATATAAACAGAAGCAAGCACACACACACACACACACATTGTCTTGCCTAATGAGGGCTGTCTGATCAGATCTAGATTACCATAAGGCCCCTTAAGTAAGAGGATTTGAGATCGGAAAGCCAGCTCTTGGCATTCCCTGTGACATGTTTCTACTTACAGCACAAATCATGGCACAGCCAAAGATACGCTTCCTATTTACTGGCAAAATGTAGACAGCTACTCCTGAGAAAGCATTCCGCATACGTTATGGTTAGAGAACATGCTGTCCCTGAACAGGCGTGTTGGGAAGAGCAGTGCCCTTTAATATAAGCCGCATCTTTCACCTTTTCAGCACCTGATTGGCAGTAATTTTACTTCCCCACTTCCCCTTTCTCCCCGAATTAAAATGCGACATTAGCACCTTTTTTCATGAAGCTCTTCCTGGCTGTGCTTTGCATACATATGTGCCGTGGAAATGAAGATACAATATTGTAATGGTTTAGGGGACTCCATTTGTCCGGCAATTTCCATTGAGAAAATATCAGTACGTGTGTGGTCAACCAGAAGGGGTTTCAGCTGGCTAAGTAAGAACAACCTATAATTGGACAGGCTTTAGCACCTTACTGGAATCATTTCAGTTACGTAAAGCACCTTCTATGATTGAAAGACAGAAAAGGTGAGATCACACAGTAAGCTACCTGAAGACTGCTGTCTGAGACTTTAGACATATAGGCTGCCAAACTCCGCCATTCTGCTCAGGGAAACCAAAGAATCACCCAGAATTAGTACTATGCCACTCTGGCCTAGAACCAGGGTCTAGAACCATCAACCTCGACACAGAGAAACAGTGATGGAATTTTCCACAGCTATAAGGTGGGGGATGGTTCTATGGGGAAACACAGACATCATCTTTCCCCTTTTTGTTGTCATCACTGTCATCACGTTACTTCTGTAACGTTTGCCCCCCCTTGCTGATCCCACGAGTGCTGGAGGGCTGGAGCACCCACAGGAAGGATCGAATGCCTATGCTGTAAAAGCTGTAATGTGATTGGCCAGCTTCCCTAGGTGCCAGAGCCTGGACCGCATTCTTCAGAGGGCTCGTTAATTGCGCTAGCTTTCTTCACGTGTTGAATATCAGACTGGTTATCCCAGTAGACCTACCCTTAAATGATAAATGGACAAATTTGTCATTATAAACCCAAACTCAAGTGAAAGCAACACCAATGTTGCCTCACCCAGCATTGTCATAAATAAGTGTCATTATTTGCTGCATTATTCGGCTATGTTCTGTTTATGTGATAATGTGCCTTTCCTTGGAGTGTAATGCCGACCAAGTCTCTGATCTCTTGACTTCTTTTCACTGTTTATTTCCGGTTGCTAGTGGTTACATTTGAATAAGTTAAAATGTATAGGTCTGGTGTGTGTTATTAGAATTTAATGGTCATTGTTGACACACCACAGCACGCAACAACGAAATGTGTCCTCTGCATTTAACCCATATGTGACAATGTGACATAGCAGGGGGCAGCTAATTCAATGTCCAGGGAGCAGTGCTTGCTGGTTGGCGATTCGAACCTGCAATCTTTCAGTTACAAGTGTCCTTCCCTAACCATCAAGCCACCAATGCCCACTAATTCCCATTTAGAGCACCCACTGACAGAAAGATAAATCGACCCCTATGCCCCCCCCCCCCCCCCCCCCCGTGCCCAATCCCATGATTCACCTTCTGGGTGATCGTCTTTCCTGCAGGCACCTCCACGGCCAGCCCCAGGTCCGATAGCCGGCATTGGCCTTTGCTGTCCAGCAGAACGTTCTCTGGCTTCATGTCACGATACACAATGTTCATGGCGTGCAGGTGCAAGATACCAGTGGCGATTTGCGCCGTGTAGTAAATGATTCGGTCCATTTCGATTCCTTTTTCTCCGATGTTGTAGATGTGGTACTTAAGGTCACCACCGTTCATGAGGCTCATGACCAGGCACAGGTGCGTCTTGGTTTCATAGGCATAAGCCAGGCTGACGATGAAAAGACTGTTCAGTTTCTCCAGAGTCTTCTTCTCTAACGAGGCCATTTTTTCTCCACGTTTCTTTTTCAAGCGCTTCTTATCCAGCTTTTTGCAAGCATACATCTGACCGGTGATTTTGACCTGTACAGCACACACCTGGACACATAACAGAAGTCTTAATTTAACAGTCCTCTTTCATAAATTTGATTCAAAAGCCACATACACAACACAGTAAAATTTAGTAACTGCTTCAAAATCTAGATATAAGATGACAATTACTCTTCTTGAAAATTTCAGATTTTCTCAATAAAATTAATGGGTATCTTAGAATTATGAAGGGCAAAATTGGAAATGGCTAGACATTTATCAGAAGTATCAGAGTTTTATCAGAAGTGTGCAAGATTTCTGGTCGCACTCACCTCTCCAAACCCTCCCTTGCCCAGGGTCCTGAATTCATAGAAGTACTTTTCAGTAATAGGCTGTCTTTCAAACTCCTTCCATTGAAGGAACTTGTCATAGAACAGACTAGCCTTGTAGTCCTGGAATGGCTTCCCCCTCAGGAATGCCCTGGTGGCCTCCTTCACTTTTCCTACCACCACCTCCTCAAAGTCCTTCTCCGTCACAGCTTTACACTTATCTGACACCTCACCAGTCAGGTAGGATAAAAAGCTGCTGGACTCAGCCTTGCAGAACTTGTTGATGATGTTTTGCTTGGTTTTGTCTTTGGTATCCGCTTCTGCAAGCTCCCAGTCGTGTAGTTCGTCCAGGAATTCAGTGGCAAACACATACTCTGGGGTGGCAGTGACAAACTGCTGGAATAACCTCTTCCCGACCGGCTGCTTCTCGCACAGAGACTCGAAGTCCTTCTCGACAGCGTTGCGGGCAGTGACGCACAGATCGGGCTTGGGCAGCGACAGACTTCGCCGGCGCTTTCTCATCTCTCTGTCATCTCCACCCTGCGCCTTCAGGTAGGCCGTGTTGGCTACAAGGTTGTCTAGTGCCCCCATGTCACACATGATGGCCTCTCTACTCACTATACAGCTGTGGCTTGAAGGGTGTTTGACTTGCTTCAAGCCCACGGTGCGAATGAGCAGCTCCAACTCACTTACCTGGAGACCAAGACTCGCTGCACATCAAGTAATTACTCATTTAGGTACTAAATACCTCAGATGGATTTTCTCCTAAGCATCTTGTGTGATCTATTCATGGAAAGGGACTTATCAGAGGTTCCTTTTGTAAGAGGCTTTGGGTTACCTAAGTTAGCAGGGGGTAGAACATCAGTCAGTGTGGACACAGTGCCAAACCTAAGTAGTCCTAACATAAAAATCATTCACTGAATCATTCTATGCCTACCCAGTGCCCTGCAAGACATCCAGACTGATTTTCAAAATGAGGACCTTCTGCTAGCATAAGAACAGACGACTGCTTATAAGACTGGACGTTTGCTAAAGTTTAAGTTTTATCTGTGATCGGTGGCGTTGGAGGGAGTTTGACATCGCAATGGACACACATGCTAGTCACACCGTAAAAGAATGTGACATAAGAAAGATTTTAATATATTTTTAAAATCAAAAAGATTTCATTATTTAAAATAAGACTAACACCAATAAGAGTGCAGTTTCATAATTAACTTTAAAAAACATCCATAAGATAAAATGATTTTGTCTGACTACAGTCTTGGTCAGGTATAGGTTTCGCCCTCGTGCTCTGCATGCGCACCAAATTGGCCTCATTAACACGACACTCATAATAAAAGGTAAGCAATGCACTTGTAATTTGTCTTTATTTCATCTGTATCATGACACAAACACCTTAAATAGCAAAAGGCCCCATTATGACTGCCGATCGCAAAAATTTTCCTATGTGATTTCATTCCAATATTTCTCAGCCCTTAAGATATCTGTTCTTCTGACCTTAACCAGACAGCACACATATGTTGAAATGACATTGATTCCATATCAGACAAAAAGGTTAAAACAACGTTGATCTTTGATCTTTCACTTTATATCAACACTGAATCAAGGTTTTGCCACCATCGATTTTTCGATATTGAAAATCTGACCAAAAATCAATTCAGTGTCAACGTTGATAATTTAACACTGACCGTAATTCAACACATTTAGCTATAATTCAACACTGAAATAACAGCATGAAGCTATCTGGGTACTGGCATGGTGAAAGCTCTATATGGTGTAGGTCAGTGGGGTGGGGGACACACTCCTGGATGTAAATAAGTGTGTTTCAGAAGGATCCGAAGAGAGATGTTAGCCTTTTCAAATCAGTCTGTGTTTCTGGCTGGTAAGAGAATTACAGCCTAGGGCCTGACAGGGAATGAGGGTCGGTTGGAACCTTGTCTCACAGACCGTTTCTTTCCAGAGAAGATATCAGCTTAAAGGATCGAACCTGGAAGCAGCCAGGAAGCTCTTCCTCCAGATCACATATATAGACATCTGAATGTGTGTATGTGAATTTCTTAGACAGAAACGCCCTTTGTTAAAATGGTCATTTAACATCCTGACTGGAAATGGCATTCTTTAAAAATTCATAAAAAGTAACTGATCTCAAATGTCAATTTAACATGCATTACAGCAGCGAAGTCGCTCAACTGCTGTGGGAATATCGCCGTTCATCCAAACTGGCACTGAAACGAGCTGATCTTTGTCCTTCCATGCTTGAGGGCTGGACAGCCTGAGCGTAGCCTCACACACAGCATTCATTCCGGATACTATTCTTCACACTTTGTATTCCTATCTCCTATTGTTATTCTGTACAATGAGCTGGGGTTGCAACAGGCACGGCCTGGGTAAATGGATCATGTGCAACAGATTCATCTTGTGTGCTGCTTGGAACTTTAATACCGCCATCTACTGTTAAGAATCCTTGTTTAACTCATACAGTTTCCATTACATTAGGCAGGGGTACTATATTATTTTTCCCCAAGGCCCCAATTTCATCAGCCAAGCAAAGCTGTGGTCTGCAGGACTAAGTTCCCCTGTGGAAGCATTTGCTAAGGGGGAGTGTGTTGGGGGGGTTGGGTAGCACAGTCTGATCCAAATTACAGTGCATTTCGAATTAGATGTGGACAGCAGTCTGCCATTTGAGTACCCCTGGCATAAGGAATTGACTAATGTGAATCAACTAACAATGTTATTAGGCTATATCATTACTTAACGTTTTACAGGTTTACTCATTCATACAGCTAAAAGGCTGCCGGGTACGATTCAGGTTTTCAGGTTCAAATACCTTTTATGTACAAACTGCAGAATCCTTCAGACAGCAGCCACATAGAAAAACATAAAGAAACACTGTCAGTTTTTGCAGTGTCAGTTTAAGAAGATGGCACCCCTCTTTATGACTCTGCACCCCCCAGTGCTATGAGCAACCTAGAGTATGCACTCCCACTGCAAAGCACCCTGTTCATGGCTTCGACCATTCATATGTGCTACGAGTACAGTCAGCAAGGACATCACACCCGACACGTTGCCCCAGACTTTTATTTAACACCAAAACATGCATCCAAAAGGTCAGGTTAACTTTAATTTTAACAGAAAGAAAACTGAATCATCCAGCAGATAAATAGTACAGTCCGTGAGGCCCTTCTCCAGAGCAGATCAACTTTGAGCAGAGGCACTGGACAGTTCTGCCTGCCTCCCGGAGACATGGTCATTTCCCAATCCTCTGGACTACCCAGTCCTGCTGGCACAGCGGGCACCGGTTGTTCTGCTTCACCCATAGAGACATGCAGCAATTGTGGAAGGAGTGGTTACACTCTCCCCATACCACTAAAAAGACAAAAAGAAAGACAGAGAAATTTCATCACACATGATTCTCCCCCGATTGACAGCTTCTGCACATCTACGCGAAGCGGAAACACTCACCGACACAGTCTTCCTGCTTGTTCTCCGCTTGGCAACGCAGACAAGCGTCTAAAAAAAGAACAGAGTTAACCGTTTTAAGGACCCGGCTCTGCCATTTCAGAACTGTAGACACATTAAACGAACCGCATAATGGCTACCGCACAGAGCAATGTGAGCAGCCGCCGTCCAAATCCTACATACCCATAACTTGCACCCTGCAGATGGCGCATGTGTCGCATTCCACGTCCCAGCTCCACATAGCCACGGCGTTCCACTTTTTCAAGGAGAACATCTTGTCTCCCCCGTGCTTTGACCCTGATCCCCCACTGTGGGATGAAACCAGAATCGGCTCGTCGCCTTCGTCCATGTCCGCCATCGTGCCGGACGTTTAGGTCCAGTCCCACCTCACCAGCTCCAACCACGGTAACCTGCTTTCATTGGTCCTCTACAATGATCGATAGGCGGAGAAAATCTTACGCATGCGCAATATGTCACAGTGGATGTATATAAACGTGCGCATGACCGGAAACGTCTGCGTATGATTATTACGTAACGTAAACAATAATGCGAAAATATCTATCCAATCATGCCTTGGTTCTTGTACGGATGTGCGTTTCTTTAGTTCAGTTTGTTTTGGGTGTCTCATTGTCATTAGCGTTTTTGTTGTTCATGTTTATATATTTTGTAAGAGTTTATTTTAAAAGTCTCTCCGTTTTGACATTCACGTTCCCTTATCTCCATAATGAAAATAAAATGCTGGATAATGTAGGCTAGTTGTTATATTTCATAATATTTCATAGGAAACAAGTGACGACATAAAATGAGCACAAGATGGCGTTGAAATATCAGGTTAAACGACTTTATTTTCGGCATTAAAAACAAATATCAATTTAACAAATTTCTGGATTATATTAGTAGCTCTCGAATTGGTATTATATATTATGTAGGTCTCTTCTGCATGTTTTGGAAACGTAATGTCTTCAACATAAACGTTAAAACATTTACCGGTATAAATACGTACATCTGTAGGCGGGCCTGCCATAGATTAAAATAATCAAAAATTTAAAACAAAATCTACAAACAGTTATGTAATAATATTTTACCCTGTTCTTTTAATTTTCTTGAATTTGGTTTTGACTTGCTATGGAATGTAAACATAAGAAATTGTGTTTTCTTTCATTCTTCAAATTAGACTGAATCAAACATGCAATTACACTATTAACTATATCTTACCCATATAAACCTGGCATAATGGTATTAATGATTTTGTTAAATAACAATTATTAAATTGACCCATTGTTGTGCAAAAGAATTAATAAAAAAGTACAACTGTTAACCAATTGCATGTTTTGTCTTTGATAATAAAAGCATACAAAAATAAAAACATCTTAGAAAACACATCGGCATCCTTTAGTCAGACTTTGTTTCTTCCGTATGCTAAAACATGAGGCCTTTCCTGGTAGGTCTTCCTGTTGGATGAGGGGCCATATTTCTCAGCTCAGGAGGTACCTGTGGGAGTAACTCTTCATTTAGCCGACTCCATTAGGGATGGAGAAGTAGACACTGAATTCCACTCTGGCCTACTGACATGGTGCGTACAGCAAAGAGAGAAAGGGCTTTTGCAGCGCTCACATTTGAATGTTGTCTGCTGGACACATTCCGTACTCCCTGCTGGGTCACACAAAGACGATAAGCTATGCTTCATGCTGGTGCTCTTCTCTGTTTGATCTTCTACAGACATGGGGTCTGAAGTTACCTCTGGATTCTTGAGGCCTCCATGCTGGGTTTTTGCCCTCTTTCCTGACTTCATGCTGTTCATCTTCTTTTTAGGTTTGTAGGAATAATAGGGGCGCCATAGTGTGTCGCGATAAGTCAGGTCATCGTATGTTTCTGTTTCTGTGATGTATGTTGCATTAGTCCTCTGCCGTGAACTCATCCTACCTACTGTCTGCCTTCTGGGATCTCTGTGATGTTCCTCCACAGGACTTCTGCAGGCCCTCTTCTTCTTTCTGGGGAACAAGGAAGAACCTTTTATTCTGCGACGCACAATTGCCTCACTTCCGATTTTCACTGTGATCTGGCAGAGTGGGGGAACCTTGCTATCAACCCCAGGACCTGCACACGCGGGTTTGGCAATGTAGGTCACAGCCTTGCCTTTGTGTGTGGAAGGTTGCCCTAACCTGTTTCCCTCTGACCAGTCTGGTAAACTATCCCTACCACCAGCACTGCTACTGTTGCTTCCTGTTGCTGTGCAAGCCATCCCAGAAGACTGTGAGGGGCCTTCAGCATGAGACTTTTGGATCTCTGTGGTTTTGAGATCTGTCTGCGAGTTCCCTTCTACTATGGGAAAAAATGGTTGAACTGGGGCAGCCACCTTTGGAGTGGCCATGAAAGTCATCGGCATGGAGAACAACGACCGTCCGACACCGACGCTGCCGCTGTTGATCAAGCTGCTGTCCTCCGAGGCAGCTGGAGAGAAGCCGGAGCTTGAGTGGGTAGGTGACGTCTGATCACGGCATTCAGCCATTTCTAACACGGTCCGGCTGTACGTGTTACGCCTCTTCCTGAACGTCATAGGCAGGAGTCTGTAGAGCTTGATGGGATATGCACCGGAACTGAAGCTGCTGTTGGGCGACTTTCTGTTCAGCAGCATCTGGGAGTCAATCCCATGGAAGGTCTTCTGATGGTTCTTCAGGATGTAGTAGGTCATGAAGGTCTCCAAGCAGAAGATGCACTGGTAGCGCCGCTCCCCCGTGTGCCAGATCTCGTGCTTGCTGCGGTACTCGGCCAGGGCAAACACTTTGTTGCAGTAGTGGCACGGGTACATCCTATGCCAGGAGTGGACGTTCTCATGCCTCTTCAGGCTGGAGAGGGTCACATAGGTGCGTTTACACACGCTGCAAGGAAATGTTCTCCTCTGTGCTTGTCCTGGTCGGGGAGCTCTCAGATCTGTCAAAGGTGCAAGAAGGTTTTGGAGACGAGAAGGCTCTGAAGGCATCTCATCCTTTTCCACGGTCAGCGTCGTGCTGCTGCCGAGACTGTCCTTGGCTAAAGACTTCAGGGCTTGCTGGCACACCTGCTCGTGGCTGCGCAGCCGCTTTAAGTGTATGAATTTCCGATAGCAAAACCTGCAGAACAAGCGGCTCCTGAACCTACTTGTGCAGAACGGTGGGTGGGTGCGGGGGGCAGGGTCTCCGTTGGCTACGTGGAGGTGAAGCTGGCTATTTGGGCTGGAAGACTGTGCTGCTGGACTCGAGCTTACTCTCTTCCTGACCAGAGGAAGCTCAGAGCATGTGTTGCTCTGGCCTTTGCAGTTTGAGAAAGATGGAGAGGACAAGGGGGAAGGGGTTACAACTGCAGTACTACTCTGGCTGTTGGAGTCCGACGAGGATGAGGCTGGCACCGAGATGCCCGTTGCTTTTTCTGCGACGTTGCGGCTACAGATGGGCACACTGCAGCGTTGGCTGGCTGGCGGAGAGGATAGTTCCATGGCCTTTTGACCCTCCTTCACACCACTGGGTTGGCTGTGCGGGGCCAGCCGGCGGACTGGGCTTAGTGCATATGAGTGGTCTACCAGGATCTGCAGGGAACCACTTTGGGGAACGGTCATGTTCAAGCAGCGGGCAGTGCTATGACCAGACTGCCTCTTCCCATCATTCTTTATTTGGAGGGAAGATATCGGGTTGCTGCCAGCTCCCCCCTCTGTGATGGAAAAGGCATTAGTGATCCTTGGACCACTGCCAGAATCCAGTACCTCCTGTTTCATCATATGTGGACCTGGGGGTGGCTGTGTCCACATGGGACTGGTTGCCCGGGTGGGACCAGTGGAACTGGAGCTCTCTTGCACCCGCAACTTCTCCAGGAAGGGGATGCCCAGCCTTTTACCAGCTGCCACCAAGGACTGGAAGCCTTCATTGTCGAGAGGAGCCACTGTGGAACTGTATATGAAGTTGAGAATGGAGGCAAACACTTCAGACTTAAGGTCCAGCAACTCAAACACTTGGGTAGCTGGCCCAAGCGCCTTTGTGGAAGCGAAAGCATTCTGGAAATACCCGCTGGAGGCCGCCAACACATTTCTGTGGGCCTTGAACTTCACGTCTTCCACCACGATGGTGATGTCACAGAACAAGCCTCTTGTGCGCTGCTCGCTCAGGGAACTGAGGAGACACTGGCTGTGCGTGCTGTCCATTAGGCCTGCCATGCTTTGGGAGACTAGCGCCATCTGCAGGGGGAAGACAAATGAAAAGCATCCCATTGTAGTTCGAATCAGCTGCAGGTATCCATTAACTGTACTGTAAAATGTGGACTGTTTGGGGCGCTCCAAGGACCAAGTTGAGAAACGCTGCTCCAGAATAGTGTGATCAATACTCAAATCACATACTACATCAGAAGCACAGGGACTCGCCTGCTTTATTTTTAGGTCAAGTTTAAGCTAGAAACCTATTTACTGAAACCACACACCTGTGTCACCGCGACCTCTGACAATGGACTATTTGAATAATGAATCAACAGCTTCCTTTGTACTGGGTGCAGAATTTCCTTCAGGATTATAACCTAGTCCATGTTTTCAGATGCTGCAGGGGGCAGATAGTTCCTTGAATGGGTAAGATTGGATGCTATCATACACTGTTTGCCTGTTTGCACTGACATAATCTCTAACAAACAAAGACTTTGTAGGGTGAGTCAATCTGACTGTACATTGTGAGTTTTTTTATGTATCACGCAGATGCAAAGACAATGGAGAGAAGCCACATATCCTACTGAGAAGGCAAGCTGCTGGATCATTTTATTTAAAAAAAAAAAAGTGACTTCCCCTGCTTGAGCATGCCCTAGCTCTGGTGACAGCTTTGTGCTCCAGCTCTTACAGCAAACAGGAGGTCCACTTATGTGATGCCAAGGCCAGATCTGTGAGTTCTTCAGTCTGAATCAGACCGAAAATAGTGATAAAACAGGCAGAGCAGGATTAACGCTATTCCTCATGCTGGTGGTGATGGGCGAGTCAAGTTACTACTGTCACGCACACTGATGACGGTGAGCTGGTGAGGCTAATGCTATCACGCACACTGATGATGGTCAGCTGGTGAGGCTAATGCTATCACGCACACTGATGATGGTGAGCCGGTGAGGCTAATGTTATCACGCACGCAGATGACAGTGAGACGGTCAGGCTAATGCTATCACACACTGATGATGGTGAATTGGTCAGGCAATTGCCATCAAGCACGATGATGAGGGTAAGATGGTCAGGCCATCTTATCATGCACACTGATGATGATGATGGTCAGGTTAATATTATCATATACACATGCTGATTGTCAAGCTAATGCTATCACGCACACTGATGTTGGTGGCCAGGCTAATGCTATCACGCACGCTGATGATGATGGTCAGGCTACCGTTATCATGTGCCCTGCTCCTGGCCAGATTAGTGCTGTCTCTCGAGGCCAAGGATCCTTCTTTGGCCGGCTCGACAGATGTAATTCGGCTGTGTCTGAAGCATAGGACTGAGGACACACCAACACGCGGAAACCAGAGATAAAGCTACAGTTAGACACAAGCACGCAGGCACAAACATGCTCATAAAAACACACCATTCTTTCTGTATTTACCCACCGAGTGCAGCACCCAGGGCTGACTGTTGTGTAACAGGAAAAGCGCTGCGTGTTCCCGGCCTGTCTGACAGGAGGAGGGGTGTTTCTTACCGTTTCCCCCCCGGCCTGTGGTTGTCTGCTGGGGCAGTGCGCTGTGCTGTGCTGGGCTGTCTGTCACTGGGCCCTGCCGCGTCACAAAGCCCTCCCACAAGAGGAAAGGGGGTGGGGCAGAAGCAGGAAAGCAGTGCAAAGAGAGAAAGTGGGAGGGCTGCCAGCCAAAGCAGGCACCGCGCGATGCTGGGAGTTGGCCCACTGGCCTGTGCTTCATCGCCCTCTAGAGGTTCACTGCAGCATAATCCTCCATAATCTCATTTTCAGATCTGTGGTCTACCAGCTGCACCTGTGGTTCTGTGGGTAGAGACCTGCTGATGTCACCAGGCAGATTTTTCAGACTCAAAGCCACTTCACAATTTATTGTCCGATATTATTCTTTTTTCCATAAATAAGATAACTGAGTCAAAGCACGAAAACTACCACAGACCTTAAATGAAAAGCTTGATGTGAAACGAGGAAGGATTGCAGGAAAAACACATGCATCAAGTAAGAACAGCATTAGAGTAGCACAAGAGAGACACTACAATAATAAAGGAACCATAACAAAAGTAATTATACTATAAGGACTATACAGGAATACGGAATATATAAAAGGATATCACAAGAGTAATAATACAAGGACAGTGCAGTACTAAAAGAAGCCTTACAAGAGTACTAATATAAGCACAATATAATAATAAAGGAACTTCACAAGGATAGTGCAGTAATAATGGAACCATCACTAGAGTAATAATGTAAGGCCAATTCAGTAATAAAGTAATATATGAAGGAGTGTGCAGTAATAAAGTGACCATTACCAAGCACAAGGATAATGCAGTAGGGCAGCATAAGAGTACTGTGAGTACAGTATGGCAATAAAGGTACTAGGGGCGAGAAGAGTAAGAACAATGTAAACGCATGGCAACAAAGCATTAACTAATGGTAAAAAGAGCTGTATATATAAAATTGACATTTCAGAGTTCACTCAGTAAAGCCTAGTTGTGGACCATCAAATTGAATAAAACAAAATACTCAAAACAAGACAATTTCTTAGAATACTTTCTGCAGTAGCTCCATAGGTTTGTTGTTTGGGATGAAAAGCCTCAGATTTGCAAATTGTTCCCCATGCTGTTGCCCATGTTGATTCCCATGTTGTTGCCCATGTTGATTCCCATGTTGTTGCCCATGTTGATTCCCATGTTGTTGCCCATGTTGATTCCCATGTTGTTGCCCATGTTGATTCCCATGTTGTTGCCCATGTTGATTCCCATGTTGTTGCCCATGTTGATTCCCATGTTGTTGCCCATGTTGATTCCCATGTTGTTGCCCATGTTGATTCCCATGTTGTTGCCCATGTTGATTCCCATGCTGTTGTCCCCATTGTCATCCATGCTCATGTCCATGTTGCTGCTCTTGCTGCATCTCTGAGTCCAACATGGGAAGAAGCGCGGAAGCTGGGTCCTGATCTCCTGGCATCGCAGACCGTAGACGACGGGACTGACTGACTGAGCCAAGGAAAAGACCACAAATACAACCAGTGCGCCGACCAGACCCAGCCTGAGTCTGGCGATGATAAGCATGCCGGGCAGGATGTGCAGGCTGATCTGTAGGCCGTGGATGAGGATGGTGCGGCAGCCCCTGGAGTTGGCGTCAGAGAAGTGTCCCACCCGGCGACCCTCCTTATAAATGAGAACGTAACTGAGCATGATGAGCAAAGTGAGCAGTCCAAGCAGCACTGCAGCACTCAGCAGTGAGGCCCAGCCCTCCATGGGTGTGTGGCAGGCGGGGTCCAGCTCGGTGAGGTATCCCTCCTGGGCCTCAGCGCAGGCCATGCCCGTGAACACCACTGGGCTGAGCAAGGCCAGCAGCCAGGCGCCCATTATGGCCTTGTTCTTCACGGTGTGGACAATCTCTCGGTAACGCAGTGGCCAGCACACACACAGGCAGATGTTCAGAGCCATCAGGGTGAGCGTTAGCATCAGGCCGCGGGCTAGCGCCACCTGCGAGCCGAACAGCAGCCAGCACACGATACGGGGCATGGCCATGTGCAGGGACAGCATCGTGTGCAGCAGTGCTCCCGTCACGTTGAAGCCAGATATGCAGAAGCAGTGCTGGCACAGCAGGACATAATGTAGCTTGTTCCTCAGCCTAGGCGTCCTGTGCACTATGGTCACCACCATATAGCTGAAGACAGTGGTGGTGATGAAGCTCCCCCAGTGGATGCCTGCTTTCACTTTATCTAGCAGACGTACATTCTGCTCCAGGCTACTAGACACGTTCATAGTCCCTGAGGAGAACAGACAGCAAACACCACAGTTTAGCCTTTCAACCTTACGTTTCTGGTAACCCTACATTACAATTAGCTACGTTGTTACATTTAGCGTTATGTTTCTTAGCGTTACATTCAGTCTTACGTTATGAATAGAATTGTGCTGCATTTAGCCTTGCATTGCTAATACCTTTGCTTTACACTTACCCTTACATTACTACAAAACTTGTGTTACATTTAACCGTAAAATTGCTAATAACCTTGTGTTACACTTGGCCTTACGCTACCATCAGCCATGTTAGTACATTTAGCGTTTCTAGCACCCTAGTGTTACATTTAGCCTTACATTGCTAATAACTTTCGCCGTTACATTTATCATTATCTCACTTTATGCAGGGTTGCCAACTTTGGTCAGTTGGCTGGTGTGAGCTTTCCAGTTCGAGTCAAGTCTGCATGCCCATGCACACGCATTTACATGTATGCAGCAGTTTTATTACCTTGTAAATAATCTGTAGGGTTTGCAAAGTACCCCAACACTTTTGATGTTGCTAATTTTAGGTTTATAATGGAATAATATAGATTTGCCGTAAATTTGAAAGTGTTATGCCGGATGTATGACAGTTGGCAACCCTGCTTCATTTAACTATGTGCTTCATTTTCTGTGCGTTTGCTTTTTTTGATTCTTCCCTTCCATGCCAACCCAAGAGGGATGAGCACCCAAGGCTAGCACATGTGTTTCAATCGGCATCTTATCACTCTGTGAGCTGTAAGCTTCACTGAGAGACATTGCAAGCTTGGAGGAGAGCACGATTCAATTCACCTTACATCCCATAGGTATATAAAACAGTCTTTGGCCAAAAATACCCAATATACCTGCATGAAACAGAGCCATAGACATACCTCTGAGCGTCTCAGTTGATCCACAACTTACCTGTCAGCCGCTTTGAGAATGGATAGCTGAGGCCTCACAACGTTTATCACCTTTCTGTGGGCGGCACACGGGTTACTCAAAGCTCGCCAAACAACAGGCACGGTCTGTGCTCATGTCTACTGCTGCCAGGCTATGAATATTGAAAATGACACACAAACAGCCAGCTTTATAGTGTATTTTTTTTATATAATACCATATAGGTTTTACAAAGTAGCGTTAATAGCAACAAAACAGAAGAATGGTGTGTAATTAAAATAATTATCAGCAATTATCCATCCATGCATCTCATAACTGTTATTGTGGTTTGGGTATCAGGGCTATTAGCAATTAGCAACATAGAAATCTTTCTTAACACCACTGCTTACAATTGCTCTTTGAGTTTCCTGCTTCTCTCCAGGCCGTCATCAGCGTCTCTACACCCCATTATTCATCTCCTTACTGGCCTGTTTGTATAAAAACACAAACAGTCTAGTGCTTCTTAAGACTGCAGTTCTAAAGCTGTCTCACCTTCTGATAAGTGTCAACCTCACTTTGCCCGTGTCAGTGGGCCAGGTCACATATCCGTGCACGAAGACCTGGCTTTAGGTTTCATTTTTGGATATGTCTGCCATAATAGGTGAACTTATACTTAATCAGGTTGATTATAATTACTCAGCTTTTATTGTGTGCATTACAGTAATTATGTACTCAGCTTACTCCTGTAATTTTGTGCAGAAAAATCGGAACTACATTTCATTTTTCAGAATGAGCCGAGTTTGAGGTTTTCCCATGACATATCTCTTTTAACTGCGTCCAATATACAGCATTATGTAGACATATTCATAGCTGGCTAAATGTCTTTGTGGACATTCTTCCAGCAAGGGGAGATGTAAAGTGGTAGGCTGCTTTCTTGGTGTGCAAGGCAAGTACGGACAATTCCTCCTGGCCCTGCTGAATACTTATGGCTTTTCACAGCCCTGTAAAATACCCACAATCCCTCATTCTCCTGTTCAATACCCATGAATTCTCATGGTTATGCTGGATAACCCATGATTCCTCGTGACCTTGCTGACTACCTGTGATCCCTCATGGCCCTGCTGTATATCCATGATTCATCATGGCTGAATAAGCACATTTCGGGCCTCCAAGATTCACATGGGAATCAAATTACATATTAGCATGTTCAGGCAAGCTAACCAGTGCCTTGGTTTCAAGTCCCAGTCTGTCTAATCTCACCGGCGGCACATGTTTCGTCTTAGAAAACGTCATAAATCATATTGCTGAAAGTCATATTATTCATCTCATCGGTGTTTATTAAATCTGGAATCATCATAAACGTGGTTGTCAGGCAAGACCCTCTCAATATGGCAATACATCCAAAAGCAGAATAGCGAACTCTCATGCATCTGACGTGACGCTCACGCTTTCAGACTCTCATGCAAGAACTCTGACGGCAAATCTATATTATTTCATTATAAACCTAAAATTAGCTTCGTCAAAAGCGTGGTGGTAGTCTGCAATCCCTACAGACTATTTACAAGGTAATAAAACTGTTACGCAAATGAAAATGCATGGACATGCGTCTGCAGACTTGTCTCAAATTGAAAATCTCACTGCAGCCAGCTGACCAAAGTTGGCAACCCTGCGAAAGACATCTATTCATCAAGTTCTGCTGAGCCGTCTTTGATGTTTAAAACCTTCACTCGTCTATGACAAATGTGGGGGGGGGGGGGGTGAAGATTTCTGTTCAAATTGATGTGCAGCATTTTGTCAGTCAAGCCATCACTCACAAAGTATAAAGTTACAAGGAATAAATTTATGGAGAAACAAATGCTGCAGTCACTCGGGCCCTTGGGAGAAAATGAATTCTTTGGTATGGTGACCTTTTGCTATTTACACATTAATAACTTGTTTATGTTATGCAGACATTAAAATTTCTGAATAAACTTGCCATTCAATGAACGATCTCAGCTAGTTAACAAACCAATTAGGAGCGGGTGTTTTTGATGGATTCAGTTGACGAGATCTTCCCTGCGCGGAAATCAGTCCTGGATCACAGTTCGCACGGAAGTAAAAAAGCAGATGCTGAAGCAAGAATGATGTAGACCAGCACAAACTTTCCCCAGAGTATCTGCTATTTGACACAGAAAACCCAGGTCCTGGCTGTAGGAGCAGTGCATCAGTGGGAAGCCCTATGTCTGGTCAGTCACACTACCAGGTAGGTGGCTTCTGTCACGTCCCTCTGTCTAGCCCTCTCGTGGACCATGCCCACCTCGTTAACCCCGTGTCAATTCCCATCGTATGAGCTGTCTTGCGTTTATTCTGAGGTCATGTCCTGTATTTAGTCCGCGTTCAAGTCTGTTTCCCCAGGTCTGTCATTGACGTCTGGACGTCTGGACTTCCGTGTGTCCGGAATCTGCTTCCCCACTCACTGCTCGCTCGCCTGGAGCGTAGTCGCAACGGATTCTCCCTGACAGCATTGCCAATCCATCCATGGCCTAAGATGTAGAACAGGACTGGACACTCGGGTAACCAGAAAACAGACGAACAAATCGTGCTCTGGTGAGCAGCTCTGTAGTCTCACCCAGTTAAACCCAGTTAAATACTGATCTCATGTTAATTCATCATTAATGAATCGGCAGTGTTAGGCATTTCAGGTCCAGAAGCTACAAATCCAGACCAAGATTTTGTTTCTACCAACCAGTTGAGTTCTCTGTGACTGTGACTCTTTATACTCAACTGGTTGGTAGAAACAAAATCTTGGTCTGGATTTGTAGCTTCCGGATATGAAATGCCCAATACTGTGAACATTTTGCTCCTCCCAGATCACAGGCTGTTCATTGGCTGGCGCTGATTGGCAGAAAGGCCAACCAATCATGGGACCCAGCAGAAAAATAGAAAAGAGACAAATCACACAGGCCTACGTGAGTACACGTAACAGTGACACGTGTTCTATCTCAAGCAGTTACTATATGTCAATTCTATAAACCTTTGTGAATAACTGAAGGAACTACTGTAGAAACCAATAATGAATAAAACATGTTAAATGCTGATCTCATATTTGTTCATCATTAATGAATCGTAATGCATCTTTTATCTCCCTGCTATATTTGTACTTCCTCATGCATGCTCTTCCTATGTCTGTACAGATTTTCTCACACAGTCCAAAAACATGCAGTAAGTGAAATAGTGACTCTATATGACACATGGTGTGTGACTGAGTGTCTGTGTGCCCTGCATTGGACTGACATAATGCTCCGACTGCTGCCCTGTGCTAGCTGGGATTGGCTGAAGGCTCACTGCAAACCTCTACTAGATAAGTGGTTATTGCAGGAGGATGGAAAGTAGCAATACAACAACTTTTCATTCTATTTTAAAATCGCCTTTCCAAAGAAAAGCCAGGCCAGCATAAATAAATGGATGCAGAGTCCATTCCTACTCGTATCTTTCTCTCTCTGTACCTTCCTGCAGGGTAGGTGAGGAAGAATGTGCTCTGCTCCTGGCCTTCATTGTCTGTATGTGCACAAATGACCACTAGATCCTCTGTCGGAGTCATCATGAGCTCAAGCGCTCCCCCCTTCTCCAGCACCCAAACACATGCAAACCCATTTTTATTTTTTATTAAGATATGCCAATGAAAACTGCCCCAGGACACAGGTTGTCCATCAGGTCAGCGTCTGAGTGATGCCTACATGGGGAGACAGTGAGAATGGCTGGCAGTTTGCGCCATACTAGCAAACAACTGCCCCGCAAAACAAACTGACACGAGGCCTTTAAATGCATGATGGGGTCAGTGGCTGTGCTTTGTATTCCTAGGGTTATATCAGAGCGCTGAAGGTGGGGTTTTCCTGCAGGCCTTCTGCTCTATCAGGTATCCAGTCCTCTCGGTACATTACAGATCACGTCCACCTACACACAAACTTCCTTAAACCACGGGTGCCCAGCCCATATGTTTCCAGGTCGATCGCAAGATGAGTAATGATTGCAATCAGCAAAATATACCAAGGGGACCTCCACCTGGTCAGTCAAATATACCATTGCAATTCAGTAGCTTGAGTATTTTCTTCGTAAAAATAGCTCTCACTGTAAAAAGAGGCTGGGCACCCTTGCCTTAAACCATGCACAGATGGTCCATTTGTGGTGAGCTGGCCCGGGTCATTATGACCCTATATCCAGTGGGCTGTCTCCCTGACTTCTCCGTCTTTCCAGCTCCTGCTCGTACTTCTCCAGCTGGCTCCAGAATCCTGGGTTGGGCTCCACTACAGAACGAGCCCCTTTCACCATCTGAGAAGGGAGACCACACACCTGAGTGCTGTCCAAAGGCCTAAGAAAACAGGCACTCAAAAGTCACCCCGGTGCCCTGTGAGGCTTTGATGTTTTTCCATTGTATGTATTTCATAAACACTGAGACACTGACATGTAACTTCATCAGAGCAAGAGTATGCAAATTACCTAGGTGTGACCAATAGAATGAGACCACTGCTACATACCTTATTGGCTAAAAAAAAACTGCACTGCCACACAGCTGACTTGGACATGGCCAATGGAAACTCTTCTTAAGGTCATGCCTCAATTGGTACAGAGCACCTGCCCACCTGCCCAGACTCACCTGGAAGGCATCACGTAGCGAGAGGGCGTGCTGCCTCATTAGGTACGCCGCACAAATGGAGGCCGAGCGACTCCGGCCATTCTTGCAGTACACCACGGTTCTGCCCCCCCGGCCCGCCTCGCTCGCGATGGCATCTGCACAGCGGTCGAAGTACTTGTACAGGTTCTCATTAGGGTCATCATACACGGGTACCCTGAGGGTGGAGACACGTGCTGAAGGGAAAGGCTGCTGCCGGGACACGTTGATGCACAGAGTGATGCCCTCCTGCTGGACCAGCTGGTCGCTGCAGGCTGAGCGTGAGTTTGCAATGAACAGAGCTTCTGTGACCTTACACAGCTGCAGCATATCCGTCCCGCGCTCACGCCCTGCGGTCGTACGTACATATGACACACATATACACCCACACTCTCAATTTTACTTAATATAACTTCAGTCCTCTTCTAGATCTTTAAACACAAAAGGACTTTAACTCTCCAGGTCCCAAACACTTATGTAGAGATAGTGATGGTAGAGGCCTGCTCCTGATCTGAATCTTCACAGTTCTGCTTTGGCCGCTTGCTGACTGCTCCTAGAAAAGGAGGTGACTCTGGGGCTATATTTACCGCAGGGTGCAGCGCAGGCCAGGAACAGGGATGTGCTGGGTCCTGCTGCCCCTTGGTTTATGAGCTTACTGGCTTCCCCTCCTGGCAGAGGAAAGACCTCTGTAGCTTTTGGTCCCTCCATAAAACAGATAGGAATTACCTCACATAAAATTATTTGCAACCCAAGGTCTGAAGAAATAAATAAA